TAGAAACGAACGAGTGTGTGTTCAGCAGTGGGAGTGGGGGGGTGGGTGACGTGGCAGCCCAGATAGAAGAGCAGCCAGTTTCTGCTTCCAGGAGACTCGAATTTCTCGCCATCTTTTTTTTTTCTCTTTCATGCTAAGGCGGTGAAAGCTAACAAAATGAGTCTAACTGCTTACAAGAAGAGGTGACACAGGCAGCAAAGGAAACAAACTGTTTAGTGAGACAAACAGCCGCAGTTCCTGAAGGCAGATGCACACACACTCGCACACATGAGGCGACAGCCTTCTCCTGCAGACAAGATTGCATTAATGAGGATTCACCAGAGCTCATGAGATCAGCATGTTTGAACAGGTGGTGACTTTTTATTTCTCCCTGTTTCTTGTGCTGCCATTCCCTCGGGATTCTTCACAGACACATGGTATCCTTAATATGAGCTATACCACAGCAGATGTTCCAAATGTATGCAATGTCATTCACAGAAATCGCATTTTATCCAAAAGCATTGACAGCCTATTACAATGCACATTACAGTGTATTACGTTCTCACCGGCTGTGTTTTACAGAAGACACTGTTTATTATTATGCAGCCCTGTGTATTTGCACATGATCTGCAGAAACACAGATCTGGAGCGGTACCAAACTGAAATGAAGTGGTCACGCTACCAAGGGTTACTTCTCAGCTACATGCAGCAGGGCAGGGCTGTGATGACCCGTTCGAGAGGTCAGCTTCAACGATCTCATCTGGGCGTACAGCTTGTCTGCAGTGCATTTTGTTCTTGAAAGCCAAGAGATATCTGTCTCTCACAAATGACTTCAGTCATGTAACCTTGACTGCCTGCCACCAGCTGCATGTCAGCCCGTATGAACAGTGATCATCTGGGCAGGTGGATGAACTCTGAGTTATGAAGCCTTTCAGATTAAAAAAAAAATGCTAGCCAGCTTGATCGTGATCGGGCAATAAAAGAACTGCAACCAATCTTATCATGTAAGGTCAGTTTAGGACATCTGACGTGCCTGAAATACTCACGCCTTATTGTGTAACTGTTCAGGAATACATTTTTAAACATTTTAAAAAATAGTTTCAGTTCCCAGTTGTTAATGTTTATAATGCACCTCCTAACCTAATTTAAACAAACCAGCTGGTGTATACAGAACCTAGATTTTTTTAAGGGCCAAAATCCTTACTAATCCTACAATATTTGGGAATATTACCTCCAGAAAGGCCCCCACACATTTGGTGAAAGGAAAACAGAGGATTTCCTGAAATCCCATAACATTTCTGGCCTCTGTGCACGGCAGGATGTCTTTGCAGCCAACATGTGGAATCTCTCCAACTCCATGGAAAAATTAGGGATTGAGAAGCAATACAGCTGTGACTCATACCAAAAGGAAAAAAGGCTGGGCACGGATATAAGTGGAAATGAAGAATTTGTGCTAAAATATTCTCTACTCTGATGTTTTTGAAAATCATTTAATATTAAAGATGCAGAGGGTATTGCATAGACTGTCAGCATTGCCATCTTCACTCCATTATAAAAAAGGAATGAGGTAAATTTCCTAGGCAGACACATTCAAGGATTCTTTACTGGTTGTACACAGATATCATCATTAATTGCCTGCTAGATGTACTGTATTATATTTAAAGACAAAGGCTGCTACAACACATTTAACATTGAAGAATCTGATTGTCTGTTGATGTCACCCATTCTTTCTCCTTTGAATAAGCCGTTTTGAATGGAATCAATTGCCCCTCGAGTAATGGCTTGTGTCATGTCTGACGCTATCCCATGTTGCTATATTAGGATATGTGCCGGCTTTGCTGTTCCATTGGCTGATCAAGCAGGCAGCCTAGTGCCACAACGATAGAACTTCTCTACCTGTTTTCACACACAAATCCTGACAGAGGTTTCAGAGAGTAGGAGAGAGGGAATCTGAATGAGAAGCTAAAGGCTATTAGCAAGACTGGAGCTGTTGGGAAATACAAACATTAAAGATAATCGTTTTCACCTGAATATATCAAGTGACCTTACACGCACACCTACCTCTTAGTGTGGTGTAAGTAGGGTTCTGCTTTTTCAGTGTTTATTTTACATTGGCATACCTCCCTATAAAAGGCAATTAGCAGTCATTGCATATTCACTAGAGCAAAACTAACTCTTCACCAGCACGGTTGCTCTGTTTGTTATTCATTGCTTTCTGAGTGATGGGTGTGTTTTGTCATTATGAATCATCGCTATTTCAAATACAGTAGTTGTGCTAATTGTAAATTTTATACATCACCAATCTGATGAAAAATTATTTTGGGGATGTTTTGTTCAACAAAGAGTGAAAATAAATAAACACGCATCCATTGGCACAAAGCCAGTAAGCCTGGCACGGCATCACTACAACTCGGAGGAATGGCAGTTCATCACAGTGCAAATGCACGGCCATGTATGCATGTATCAGGCGACCAGCTGCAGGACTGAAGGGCAACTTCAATGGGCTCTGGCTCTGGGATAGTGAGCAAATCCCATTTGAAGGAGTGATGAGACCATACACTCGGAGGATGAGATGTTAAATGCAAAGCACATGGTGTTTTGTTTGCATTTAGGGGATTTTTTGTGTTCTTAGCTGGTAGACAGAGTTGTCCAAAGGTATGTTTAGACAAACAATGAAAACATGGAACACAAGGTGTAAAACTTGTGATGGCAATATTCTGGACGGGAAGAAAAGAGTCTTCCAGCCTGCTGAAACTAGATGATGTCTTGGCCAGACTGTAGATAGAAGCCCATCCTTTCTCACTGAGACGTGACACATCTATAGAACCACCACCAACACAGCAGCACAGAAGAAATAGATTTTCACTATGAAGGTGAGCCTTACGCCCTGCTCTTCTTTTCCTTTGTTATTCTGTGTGAAGTCTCCTATTTGAGCATTTTGCTGCCAGTAAGATTTCACAATATCAGAAAGGCTACAAATGAGAAAAAGCCACTGACTAGAGCATTCTATAAGCCAGGCACAGCCCTGATCAGCTTCATGTGTTACCAGAAATGTTGCATTTAGAACATGAACACAGTATACATGTAAACACAAAATGCAATAGGAATATATGTAAACAGCAACACAGAATATAAATTCTGGTACCAGGGTGTTTGACAATGCCCTGAATTCTTTCAGGTAGTTTAATAAGAGCTCATCAATGCCGAACAACAGGTGTGCTGCCTGCTGTATCTGCCTGCTTTCTTAAGACAAAGGAGCTTTGTCTATTGGAGTTCTGCACTAGGACAGGATTACCTCCACAAAGACTTTTAGAGGATTGTTCATGAATTTTAATTTTAAATTGTGTCGCAACCGAAGGCAAACAGCAGTCCGATGGATGAGTGCAAATGGATGATCCTGTCACTCTTTCGGAAGCAATCAGCGGACAGCCAGCTCCTGCAGGCATTGCTAAAATCCTGGAGCCACACTCCCTCATGGATTAAAATGGGAGAAGACGGATATGGTTGGATGGCCACGATAGTGCAGGTTTTCTTTTTGAATGCATAAACGCTAAGTAGTTAATGCATAAATAATGAGGCCCATTTTCACTCCAGATGGGTAGAGAAATCATTAACTGTAATCTGTTATTCATTGACACATAATTGCCCTGTCTTTGATTTTTATCTTTTTTAGTTGGGAAAAAAATTAATCAGGTTTGATTTGGTGCTCATTAGTTGATTTCTGAAGTGATATTCCCAAGGTCCCTGCTAATTTATCTGTGAGATGTTCGTCATTGCTTTCTCCACTCAATTCAACACACTCCAACCCAAACGATGACTCATTTTGAGGACAAGAACAAACTGTGATCTTTGCTTTCCTTGGGAGCTGATCGGTCAAGACTAAAGAGACTAAGTTTCTTTCGCCAGCATGTGTGTGACATTCCTACACTCAAGGCAGTGTATTAAACATTAGCCTGGCTAGAATGTTGGACTCCAACCTGTGAACCATAAATTCAAGTGTTGACACTGCTGCTTTGGTTTACAAACACCCAGATCACCCCAACAAAGCCTATATTTTGCTTTTCACAAAGTCAATAATAATATCATCTTTGGTGAGTAACTTCAGATAAAAGCTTCAACACAATACAATAATCAGGATAAAAATACTGCGCACATTTTCCACAGCAAACGTTTGTTATAGCTGACAAAGGAGGTTGATCACAAATGTTCTTTTAGCTTTAAATCAATTCAATTCTGGGCAACTTCAAAAGAACAAAAAATGTCATTCCTTCTGAAATATCATATTATAATGCAATTAGGATGTGTTCTTACATCATCAATTACAGCAGAGTTTAGCCCTTTTTTGTGCAGATCGAAGTCTACCGTGTTTAAAGTTTGAGATGTTCTGCTTTACATCTTCCTGCTGAACAGTGGAAAATCGGGATAATTTTATAACTCTAAATTCAAATCCTTTCTTAGATATAATATACAGAAAAACTCTTAACTGGAATTCTCTGTTCCTGGCACTTGAAAATCAAATGTTTTCAACACATTCCTAACACTGTCTTGGAGTGACGTGGCAGTTCAGTGTGCCATTTGTTGGGAGATAATTTTAAGGAAGGACCACACCTTTTTCCCAATACCAACTCATCTGTCATTTCCAGGAAAATCTCCAAAATGGTGCACTTTCAAGGAAGAGCCCACCCAGTATGATAACTGAAGAAGTATAACTGAAAGGAAATAAACAGTTGGATCACAGAGGTCCAGAGACAACTGTATCCTTAGTTTAATAACATTAACATTAGTAGTGTGGGTCAGGGAAACGTTTCGGCCGTGAAGCCTTCTGTTTTAGAGAGGGTAGCTACATCTCCATCTGCTACTTTTCCTTATGAGACCACTGAAACACCCTTTTACGCACAAGCTTGTACAAAGCATACATTTTGTACACACATATTCAAAGATATGTGTGAACGCACTCCTTTCATGTCACCATTCAATTGCAGAAGTCGTAACACTTAGTACTTTGAACTATTTTACTTGCCTTTGTTGCAATGTTTTTAGCGGCCTCTAGTGGCCCCTATGGTCATGACAGTCCTTCCACAGGACAATCTGATATACTGTAGATGCTGGAATATAAAAATAAGAGAAATTGCAAGGAATGGGTTACTACATCGTCATTCTACAGTACCTCCTCCTTTCCCTTTACGTGTGTTGGAAAGCATCAGGGGAATAACACTGCAGTGTAACAGGAGTGGATGGCAAAAACAGACATGGCAAGCATTGCGTATAGCATTGCAAATTTGCAAAGTGCATTAAAACCATAATTAGAAGCACGAAGCACGACTGAGGAAGGTCAGAAGGCTCGTGTTCCCGGCAGAAAACCAGCCCCCGGAGATCCTGTCCCAACCAGAGCCAGGAGTCTCCTGACTGGCAGCCAGAGATGATCCTGACCAAACAGTCTGGGCACTGTGAGGGCACCGATTTGACACACCAGGAAAGAACCCCATCACATTAAAATGAGCACGCTTCTGCCGACCAAAATGGAGCTGTCCAGATTTTCCACCGTTCCACTTTTCACTCTCAGTAATGTGATGGCCTATTTGTTATCTGAGAGGCTCAGACACATGAGGCCAAGGCATTGCATACTGCTGTGTTTGTGCATTCTCTATTTTGTGCCTAGTGTTGTTTAATCAACATTCCGAACCAGCAACACTTACTCAAAAAGGATAGGCTTCTGTAATTTATAAGTTGTACATGGTACATGGGAAGCTCTTTAGGTTAAGGCTGAAGCTTTAAAGTGTTGATGCTGTGATTGCTGTCTTTATTGATGTGGTCATGGCTGTTCATTTTTCTAAAAATGTTCTTTGAAATTTTTTGATTGCATAATGTAATGTTTTATATAATAGTTTCACATAAGTGAATAATAAGAACATGAGAGTGATTATTAATGAAAGGACGTTACTTGCTAGCGTTGATTAGTGAAGAGGGCATACATGTGTATCTTGCAACAAAAGCCCTTCAACATTTTGGTGTCTTTTAAAAGTGAGCAATCATTATGGGTTTTTAGAATGTGTTCCTTGTAAGACACATGCTGTATATATACTGGTTTCACTGGTCAATGCTGGCTATGTCACACTGATGAGCACTTACACTTACACTTGGCTGCAAATTTGACTTTACATACCCTGGTACACCACAGGTTACCATTTGAGAGGCATTTTACCTGCAACGCTCCTGCTCTGAGGGCACTGTGGAGGCAAAGAAGGTATGAGAGGTGTCAGCTATTAGCTTCTGCAGCATCAGAGTCCCTTAATGCCACAGAGTGTGGCACAGTCAACACACACACACCCCTTCTCCTCTCTTTCCTCAGTCATGGGACTCCTGCTACTACTTGTAATCTGCATTACCTTGATATCTCTTGAGCCCTTACCCCTGTTCTTGAGAGAGTTTACTTCTTTGACAGCAGCATCTTTTTTTTCTCATTCACAATTACGTCAAGGTTTCCAGACGTCTCATTACAGCCTAGGCGCTTCTGTCTTATCGATTGGATACACTTCGATTTTTATTTCTTCGAAATCTACAGGATGGGGCTTTCTGCATCCTCTAATGCTCCTGATCCCAACGTGTTCTTTTTTTTCATGAAAGCTGGTTTCTTGGCATCCTGATTAACTTGGCATCCTGCACGTAAAGAAATGGGACTCTTTGAAACTGATTTCCGCTTCCCCTAAAGTTGCAGCAGAAGAATTTTTGAAAGCTGGAAATCTCCTGCAGCTTCTGAGCTGAAAGCAGTGAAAAGAAGTGAATTACTGAGTTGAATGTACAGTAGTGTGCAAATAAATCATTGAGAGCTGATTTGGAACAAAACCCCTACAGATGACCTTGGGTCCTAGTACCAGGCTGGGGAATGTGTCTGATGTGTGTGCGAGGAGTTGCCCTGGGAGTGAATGGGGGAAAACAGGTCTTGGTTGTCCCTCTGGTCTAGGTACAGTCCCATCATCAGCCAGTTATTTTCCTGATTTAAAATGAAAAGCAGTGATCCATATTTCGCCCACTCGATCACCCCTTCCTGCCTGAATCTCTCCCTTATCCTTCTCAGTCTTTCCAGCAGGGCTCTCCTTAAAGTGGTTTGTGACAGACAGGAAAGCGTGAAAAAAGCTCTTAGTAATATCCCTGAGGTCACGCCTTCAGTGCCTTGCAATATCAAGGCAGCTGTAAAAGGGCAGAATGGAACTATTAAAGACCTTAAGAGCTTTGACCAGTCAGTTGATAGGAGACTAATCCTTCACCCTAGTGGTTGATGCACAGCGACCGGGCAATTTTTAATGCGATTTTCTGAAATCCTTATAGTATCAGTTTTTTAAGGAATTCACTGCTCCTATTACTATTTTGTCAGAAGTCAGGTGCATTATAATGTACTTCACCTCCAACTTCACATTGGCGAAACACACCTATATAATTTCCACCGGCATACACTAATGTGACATAACGTTTAGGAGCCTCTGAAGAGGCTTCAGGCGCTGTAAATGGTCTGCTGAGCAGAAAGCTGTTTCCGTGTTTGGTTGCATGTGTTCACCAAGTCCCCCTCTGCTATAAAAAAGAGAATGTGGATGAAGAAGGTTTAGAAGAGGTACTCAGATGTGCTAAAAGGCCACTCATCTTATACTTCCAAGTCCACATTTGTAAGATGAGATAACTTAACTTTCAAAAGACCCTGAACATCCCCTCATGTGGAATTGTAAATTGAAATTCCCTGCCTGTCTCTTTTGCTAACCGCCATTGTGTGCTCAGTCACAGTTCCCCTGCTTTTCACGGCTTGTGTAAAACACAAAAAAGAAGAAAAGAAGGCAAAATCCCAGACCCTGAGCCTCTACTGTAGAAGCCAGTATTTCCTGAAGCTCCAACTTTCATCTTTTTTTTGTGTTAACTGCGCTTCTGCAAATCACCTCCAGAAAATGGCCGTATTTAAAAAAAATATATTTTCCACAGGTCTGGGCTCCGATGATATGGGCATTAGAAAGCCTAATCAAAATGCAAATCGCGTTTTAATGGAGACAGCCATCCATGGCCTTCAATTGCCTTCCCCATCAGACAGGAGAGTTGAATAAAGGGGACAATTAGTCGTGTCTGTGTCTGCTCCTTATCAGCATTTAATCTGTTTTTTATTTGTTTAGCCATTGCACTTGACATGCCTAATAAAAATACACTGCAATACACAGAAGGCATCCGCTGTGTCCTAAAACCTCCTCCCTGTTGTGGAGAGATGATACAGGGTGTGTTTTCTAATGAGGGTGTTATTTATTTTAGTTTCACCTTATGAAAAGAAGACGAAGGACTAAGGCTCTTTTCTTTCAAATTTAGCAAGAGACTATGTCTGCATTTAGGACTGTTATTCATTGCTAGCCAAAATTACACACACAACAATGGCAAAAACACCATCCAAAACTTGCCAGCTTTTACTGAGGAATTGCTTTCCATATCTGGAACAGATCCTGGTCTTTTATCGTAATACTGACACATTAACCCCCCTAAAAACAGTTTGATGGTCTCATGAAAACATTGTAAAAAGCAAAAATGACATGTCCTTGGATATGTCAGATTTGACTGGATTCATTCTCAAAACTCCTTCTTGTAGAAAGATGTTACAATGAGGTTATATTTCCAGAGTGCAAAAGCTGTGGAAGTATTCCTTTTACTTTTATTTTAAAATACTAATTTCCCCCTTTCCCTTTTGTGTGTGTGTAAGAAAGAAAGCCTTGTTTCATGTTCTGAACTTGTTCTATTTTTGGAAAGAATAATGAAAATCACTGCCCAGAAAAAGGACATACGATAGCTCTGTTCTCAGACAGAAGAAAGCGTGTATACATAACATCCCTTCAGCCTTGTGTTGGAAAATTCTATCCAAAGATAATACTATCCAAGCCAATCATTTAATTCAAAATGTACCATATCTTTTTAAAAACAGAGATACTGAATGACTCTTTCCGAGACGATAAGCTTCATGGGACCTGTTGTTCCTATTGAAAAAAGTTTTCCTTCTCCCTCTTGCAGCTTTTCAACCTCCAGAACGCACTCTCTCCCACCGAGTAACTTCAGCCCCTGTGTGGTGGCAAGGGCTGAAATCATAAAAAATGGATGCCGATCGATTCTGTCTGAAGGGGAGCACGAACACGTTATCTCTTGTAGAAAACAAGAAGGTGAAGGAGGCAGCACGGAATCAATCGGCCTTTTTCCCGAGCTCGGTTCTGACCTTCCTTGTGTCCTTCCTCACCCTGGCCTACTGAGAACAGCTCTGGAGCGAGTGAGATCTCACAACCTGGGCCAAGAACGCCTCCCCGCTGCCAAAGAAAACGAAACCCCGCCACTTATGTGGCAGACAAGTCTGCGTTTACTTTGGAAAAGCAGCATCTCCTGCTTGTTTTCCATTATCAAAAAGAACATTTTGACCCTTTTTTTTACCGAATGGGCAGTGTTTCCTTCCTCTATCAATTGGCCGGCTGTGCGGTTTGACACAAACCGCCTCTCTCTGTCAGTCATATGTCAAAAACTGGTTCTCTTTCCCTTTGTTCTCTAAGATCTGCTCAGTAGCAGATCAATGCAAGCAAGCATTAATGTCCCAAACAGTACAGCAAGGACAGCTCATGATAAAGAACATTAGAAAGTTTGCAAGTGAGAAGATTCCCTTTGGAAAGTAGGATGCCTCACAGTGATGCAGCTCACTGAACTACCGACTGTTCTCTATCCTAAGTGCACTGCCTGGTAATAGCCTTGAGCTGTGTCCTTTCCACTTATCTTTTACCCCTGACCTGTAGAAGACACAGAGTTTTTTGACTTGTTCCTCTTTTTTGCCCTTGTTTTGGTTACAGGACACCATTAGTGCCTGGGATCTATGTGCAGAATCAGGAAGAATATGCAAATATCAATTGCATGTAATAGCAGGTCTTCTTGTAACCTTGCATATGTGATCTCTATTGCTGTTTAATGGATCCATGGAAAATGCTCAAAATATGAATCTGCTCTTTACTTTGTCTTTGCTTTGTTGGGTACTTCAGACAGTCTTTTTTACCCCAGCCTTTCTCTTCCAATAGGAGCTGTGCGAAACCTCGACAGCTCTTATATTTCTGAATGTGACTAGAGCCAGTGTGATGTGCTGCAGTTCAGAACAGCACCGACTGCAATCTTCACTTTCTGTATATGCAGAATGTTAAGAAAGCAGCATTTCGTATTTTAACCAATACCAAGGTTAAAGGATATGTGATTCATATTAGTTCTTGTTTTCTACAACCTACAGTTGTTTGTTAAACGAGGAAGAACTAAAAAACAAAAACACAGTGAGTTTGTACAGTACATTGGGAAAAAGTTGTCTTATTCCTATACTGAAACCCTGATGCTGACAAGCTCCTGTCTTTCCGGTTTTATAAGTGGATTCCATCATTATCCAAAGAGCAAGGTCTTGAATTAAAACTGTAAATGAATCAGTAAGGGCAGAAGTCCTGGTTCCTGGGTTAAATTCTGGGACCAGCAGTGTGAAGTGTCATGTTGTCTGTGTGTTTGTGTGCATTTGTGTTACTCCAGTTTCTTCCCGCTTTTCAAAAAACATGTTGGCAAGGATAATTAGATTCTCTAAATCAGGGCTGTCGGACTGGTTTTAATTAAATAATTAGACCATTTAAGCAGGAGCTGGAGTTGGAACAGAAACCAGAGGCCACTAGGTACTCCAGGGATTGAGCCTGACACACACTGTCACTCAGGACTACACCCTGCTATGGCCTGATGTACAGTAGTCCTGCCTTGATTCGTGTGCTTCTCGGATAGGCTTTGGGCTGCTGTGGACCTTATGCAGCTCTTTGCTAATGGATAATAAATGTTGACTTATTGAATTGAAATGGAAGATTCTGTAGTTCTGAAGTGCTGGGTTTGGGGACCGCCAGTGCAGGAAACACAGTGTCTACCACTAGTCTATATACAGTAACAGTATTAGACGGGTGATATCTTTTCCTTTAAGTAAGATATAATGGGTTAGCGCTGCCGTAGCTCATTATGAAATCCACTCTGCTAGACCTGAGGTTCAGCAAGCCCACAGTCGTCCTCGGAATATCAATTGCCTGCTCAGGCGATGTGTGAACGCTGCTTGTGTCTGATGACATGAAAGTGCTTCTCTGTCTTTGTATCCAGGTCTGGTGTGGGATGCTGGAGAGCTGATTTTAATTGGAATGTTTTAAGATGGAGCATGCATTTGCAGCTCAGCATGGAAGGCAGAATGAAGGCTAATTGAAAAGCCTGTATTCCACAATGCTCCACCAAGCACAGGATGGGAATATTCAAGTTTAATAAATTATTTCTCAAAGTGGAAAATTAATCATTCGTATTTAGGACTTCCTTGTTGATGCTGAACCAAGGATTACAAGGTTATAGCTAAACAGTCTGCAACTAATAAACCAACAATTGATCTATCAGTCAATCTTTAATAACCCTGGAACTCACTTTATTGATTGTGGAAGGCTACTCAAACAGTCCTATTGTGCTGTTTGACATTTTCAGACTGTGTTGCAAGCATGCTTGAGAATTTGAATTGAAAGCTTATAAAGTGAAAAAAAATGTATTTTATTAAAACTTGAAAAAAAGGCTGTTCTCCGCCTCACTCTGAAACACAGGTAAAATCAAAGGCGGCTTTCTCCTTGGTATTTGACCCTTGGAAAGTCAGACTTTCTCCCTTTTATTTGTTGGCATTTTTGCCCCTTTCTGCCAATGAGCTTTTCAGGAGTTTGGTATCCAAACCCACATGGGCCCTACTTCCTATGACAATAAGGTAGATTATTTGTTCAATGAATAAGCTGACCCAGACTTTCAGTGAACATTCAGTTTAGTTTGTCTTAAGAACATAAGGATGGTTAAAATGAGAGGAGGCCATTCGAACACTAGCCTGTTCAGTACTAATGAGCTAACTGAAGCCAGAGTGAAGAGGGAAGCCAGCCTGAACGATGTAGCCAGAGAGGTTGTTCCACACCCCCGCAGTACAGTGTGTAAAGAAGTGCTGCCTGTCCTTGGTCATAAGTACAGTTTACATAGTTTCCACTTGAGTCCTCTGGTTCACAAGAATAATTAAGTAAGAATGCAAAGTACCATTTATATTGCACATTGCTTAATTAGTATATTTTTTACTGCATGGACCAAATTCTTCTTTATTCTAAGGAAAGATGTACTGTATAGAAATGAAAATAGCCCTATTTGAGATGAGAGTAGTATTCACACCTGAAAACATGCATGTAATTTTTTCCTAGACCTGTGTTGTCTGTGCTGTGTTGAAAAGGCTCAGTGAGTGTTCCTTATTGTATATGGCAGGGTGTTGCGCAAGCTGTCACACTACTTGGACACGGTTCACTTACACTGGCTCACTCCCAGCTCCCGTTGAGAAGAGTACTGGAAAAAGCTTTTTTTTTTTCTTTCCTTTGGCCAGAACACAAACATTTTCCACACACGGTTTCGAAGAAGGATGCCTGCTGGAGCCATTATCTCTGCATCTCTGCAAAACTCATTAAATACAAGTAGGGGTGAGATCAACACCCCCCCCCCCCCCCCCCCAACCTAACACATACTTTCCTGGAAGGACAGTCAATGTATCTGGTGTGAAGAGATGGGAAAGAAGAAAATATTTCAGGAACAGGGTGTCTTTTCTTTAAATTGGCTCCCAGCCTGGGCCAACATCTAAGCTCCTGACTGCCTTCCTCTATTACCAGAACTGAGGTTGTAGAAATAGAAATTGTCTGTTCCCCCTGCAGGCCTGTGAGTTTCACGCACCGGAGTGGAGCCGGACCTGTCATTGCGCAACAACAACAAAGAAAGGAAAAAACAAAGTCATAATCTCCAAGGGTTAAAAATAAACGGGGCCAGTTATGAGGTGTAGCAGCTCCCATGGCTGTTTCACATCAGGAATCCTGGCCCTGAGTGAGGGTGATGGGTGATGGCGCTTGTGAGATGAACTCGAGGGGACTCAGCACTGGCCTGTGGGACTGAGAAGTCAGTGTTACAGAATCAGGCCTGGTGAGCTTTGCTCAGAGACAGGCACGAACGCAGAGCGTGTAATGATGAATTTTAGCGCAATGCAGCTGACCACCATACATTCAGCCCACCTGTAGGAAAGCCTAGTGGCTATAATGACTTGTGCCTGTAGTCACAGTTGCCCTGTGTAGAAGAAACTGGGTGCATTAAAAAGAGAGACAAGGAGTCGCCAGATATTGTAATCAGTCCATCTTATATGCTGAGAAACAATGCTGAGGAGCTACAGTAAGTGGTGTGGTAAGTCATTTTGCCAGACCCTACAAAATGATGGTACAGTTGTCCTGTTTGCTGTGTGCTAGTTTGGACTCAGCAGAGCTATAGCTATTGGCAGATGTCACATAATAAACATGAGGAAGGTTACAAGACGAGGCCATCCTGCTCATTTAGCTCACGTAATTACTAGCAGCTAACTGATTCAAGGATCTCATCCAGCCATTTCCTAGAAGAAGCCAGGGTACTTGGAAGCTTGTTTCCCCCAACTCCCAAACTCAACTAGGAGTTTCCCCCAATTCTTCGTGTAAAAACACTTCTTCGTGGTGCCCTGAAGAAGTCCTTTGGGTTTATTTAGTCAAGGCCTTGGAAGATCTTGGTCCTCTCATCGTCTGTTCAGGACTGAGAGGACGTAGCTGTAGAAGGAGGTCAATCCATGGAGGACTTTCTTTGAAGTTCAGGAATGTACAGTATTTGGTTCTTTGGACTGATTGCAGAGGAGCAACATTTTGTTGGGATACGGTGACGAGATATACATATATAAATTCTAAAACAGGTCTTCCTAGCACATCTGAAAATTTAACAAAACATCACACAGTTTAAATTCTACAGTTTTGACTATATACAGTATATCCTAATATTCTGTTTGCTTTTTATTGTTTACCAACATTGTTTAAAAGACAAAAATGATGTACCAACCTGAAGCCTTTTTGATAAGTAGCCTCTTCAAGCTCAGTGTTTTCTTATATTTATGGTTTACGTTTCTGCTTTCCTGTGCATTTTTCAACATCAAATGCCTTCAGCAAAGTGTTTGTCTGGTTTAGAATTTAGCACAAATCTTAAACCTAAAGAATTGGCCTAACCGTTTCTACAGTATTTGTTAATCCTGCTATTTTGATATCATCTATAAACCTGACTAGTTTACTAAATATAAAAGAATCTAGATCTTGGATGTCACACTCACTGCATATATCCGAATACGGCACCCTGGCGATTTTAATTCAGCCCTTGTGAATATAAATTCATGAGGTAATTTGGCTTGTCAAATTGAATGTGAAAATATAAATCCCATCAGCCATTTGGAAGGTAACAAAAAAGTGCTAATATTACCGTTTTTCAGAACTGTCATGTTTGTTGAACAGAAAGAAAAAGTATGTATGTCTCGTTTGTAAGCATAGTGTGGTTCAGTAATATTGAAAGACTTAACTTTATGGTGGAGCTATGAAACTAAATACAATTAAACATGATATTTGGAGAGTGAATAAAGGTTAAAAAAACTTGTAGATGTTTCTAAAAGCCCTGAATTACATTCAAGGGTGCAAACGTGAAACCAAAGATGCTGTAAAGGGGGCTGCATTGTGTAATAATGATGCAAAGTGTCCCTGGCCTTTCCCTATGGGCTCTGTTGTAAAATACTGTATAATGTAGTGTAACATCTCACTTAGGGTAGAGTTTGATTCTTGATGTTTGTGAGAATAGCTGTCTTCAGTGATGAAAATCAACGATTACTACCCAACAGTGACAACTGAATGATATTGACATTGACTGTACCAATGACTGCATCAAGCGCATGTCTCCTGAAAATAAATAAGATACCTGGAAAAGGTGTCAAGTCTCCACCATAAAATAACTTTCTCAAAGCAGCAATTAGGTAAGATGCGTATTTTGAATTGTTTCTAAATAGTTGATATATAGATAGTCTCTAGAGCTATTGTATATTTAAAAATTCAATTGGATTGAATTGTAAGAAATTACTCTCATTCAAAGTATGGTGAATTTAGATGATATATCTAAAAAGGAGGATGAAACAAATGTGCTGCTGGTGTATCAGTTGGCCCATAATAAAACTCAATTTGATACTGATCTACATTCTTGATACAAATTAAGACAGCCAGTTACCCGAATCCAGATCCCTGTGGTACTCCCCTAATTCGTGGCTCCAACTGAACTTTCACTACTTACAGTATCTGTACTTCGTGTTTTCCATTAACCATCTCTCAACCTATATACTGTACATTGAATTAGTGAAGTCATTGAATGCCAGTTACTTGCAATTCAAGAATTTGGTTGGTGAATGAGGAATTTATTCAGAAACCTTTTAAAAATCTACATATTTCATATCACATGCTTCATTGGTATCCTTTACTAATGCTGCTTGTTCAAAACTTTGGACTAGATGGGCTGAATGGCCTCTACTTGTTCGTTACTGTTCTTCTTACGAACAGGTTCATTAAGTACGACCAAACTTTTCTAAACCCATGTGAACTATATTCTAAAAGCATTTTGCCACGTGGATGTTACTCTACAATAGTTTTGTTCTAATTAATAATATACTGTGTATTGTATATCGTTTTCATAACCTTAGATGTTATAGAAATTAGATTTATTGATCTATAATTGCTTGGTTTGGTTTTGTCAAGTTCTTTAAGAATGGAAATTACATGCTAATCAGTAGGTATTACCACAGTAATAGATGGTGTCTGCTTTGTGTGTAGTCAAGTCCCTAACTTAACATTAAAATCTAAAATAAAAAAGGTGTTGGTGGAGACATATGTTAACTTGATATATTTATACTGTCACAGTTATTTCAAATGTGCTGTTTTTTTATCATATTAAAAAATGCATTTTTTTTGTTCTTTGTAGCACAGGGATAGGATTGACATTTTGTTTGATTTTAATCAGCATTTAATAAATTAGCTATATCAGGAGCCAGATATAAATCAAATGAATAAATGCAAATGAATAATGGCATACTGATAACAAGCCAGCAGATGTACACTGCCTTAATGAGTAGGCCTTCTCCTTAATCACAAACTTAAAACTTACCAGCAGAAGCAGTGTGAACAGCAGCAAGCAATGTGATAGTCATTGGTTTATAGCACCCTAACGTGTACTTTCACACACAAAAAAATCAGTTATTGGAAACAACTCCTGTGTTACTGGGAAGCCAGTCTGTTGTTAATCTATACAAACGCACATTTAAAACAAATAGGATGTAATAAGATGAAATCAATATCAAATTCCTTCCAGCAATTACCATACCATGATGTTTTTTATCGCCTTGGTCGTGACTGTGAAAGAAGTGTAAATGTGGTAATAAACAGAGAAATGGGGCTTAAACAGTTTAAAATACGCAGCTCTCTGTAGGCAGGAAAGGGGCTTCAGACATGGCGTAGATTTGTGCCCTCAAGGCTGCATTATAATGTATACCGCAAATAACCAAGAGGTTTATTATGGCCTTTTCATTTATTGTTTTACCTTTTCACCTCACATTTGAAGTGTCTTGCTAGAAATGAAAGTAAATTGCTCATCTTTCTTTTAAGCTTTGAAATTTTCACTGATGTGTCAAAGAAATTAACATGTCTTTTAAAATCTATAAATCCATCACAAAGACATCTACTTTTAAAGTCTTAGTGTCTGCATGAATAATAATCAATCATTATTAGACAGCTTACAGAAGACTAAGGCTGCTGTCTTTGCGTGTCCTTCTCCCAGTGTTTTTGCTTTCCATAATGGAGGTCAGAGATCAGCAAGTCTTTTTTTCTTGGTGAAATCTGGACAGGTGACCCTACATAGGACTCATGCAAAACACTGCAAATTAATTACCCAAACCACGTTGGTTTGGGGTTTGGTTTGGTAAAAAACAATCACTTGAAAAAATCTGGTGATCAGTTATTGGTATTATCATAGTGCTTTATGCATTTTTTAAGTGCTCCAGTAGAGATGCACAGCAGCACCTTCTATAAACTGAGCTTCAGAACATGAAAAGTACACATATTTTGTGGCATCCTGGAATCTGTCCCAGAAGCACAGGGTGCAAAGAGGGACAACACCCTGGATGGGACACTAGTAGTTCAGCAACACTATATCTTCAATTTCTTGAGCTTTAAATGACACGAGTACTGTAATGCCACAGGGGGCAGGGTCCCTGAAGGGTGACTCTGCCCCTGAAGGGCTGCATCCTTGATCTTACCAAGATATAAAACAGTGGTCACAGAGAGTGGAGCAGGGATGAGCTCCATGCCCTACTCCAGACTCTATAAGTAGACTGACATGACAGTGGGAGAGAGGGAAATAGAAGGTGAAGACAGTGAGGGCAAGACTGGCTTGTATGAGATGGAGATCATAAGACCCTCTGTGTGAGATTTCTACTGATCGATGCTAAACTATGTGTGAGATAATTACTGGGAGATACTAAACTCTGTGTATGATGGTATCAGGAGACACAACCCTCTGTGTGAGATAATTACTAGGAGATACTAAACTTTGAGATTAGCAACATTGGAAGATCCCTCTTCTTTTGGATATATTGGTTCATTTGTAAAGCTGAATCTGTATCTCACAAAATATA